ATAATTATAGGTCACGTGTCACATATTTTAAAATAATTGATCACAGATTATTTCGAGATCTCAGATTAAAAATTTTGTACGTTACAAATTATTTGAAGGTCATAGATTTTTAAATTAGTTGGTCACAGATTATTTCTGAATTACGTATTATTAAATTTTTAGGTCACAGTTGAGTAATTGGTCACAAATTACCAAACATTTAGTCACAGATTACCAAACATTTGGTCACAAACTACCGCCACTACCACTATGACCACTTTCGACCATCCTCACCACGCTGCCCCCACCACAACAGCACCAACAAAGCCACGACACCACCTCCACAACCAATCACTTGCATATTACCTATTTTATAAGTCACAAATGCCAAACATCTCCAACAGAAACGCGCCCCACAGCCCACACAGTCACCACCATCGCCACCGCAAACAAATCGCACCGTCGACACCTCCACCTGCAAAATCAACTATACCCAACCGACAACCTCACCAACATAACCACCGTTGCCACCGCTTGGTCACAGACTATCGCCACTACCACTTCCACCTGCAAAATCAACTATACCCAACCTACAACTTCACCAACATAACCATTGTCCCCATCGCCTACACTACCAGACCACAACCATAGTCAAAAACCCCCTACCAAACACACCCAACAATGCAACACCCCCACAAACTCACCAAAAGCAATGTCGATCCGCCATAGCCACCAACACCATCTACCTGCACAACCAAAAAAAAACCTAAAAACTCCCCAACACTACCAAACTACCACCACAACTCCACTCCGCCACTGCACACACACCATCGAACCCACCATCACCGAGACGGAGATGAGAAGGCAGTGGTGGCGTCTTGAGCGTCGAACCTACCATCACCGAATCCACCATTACCGCAAGCAAATCTCACCACCACAACACCTAATCACCGAACGCTCCGATCTCCTCTTCATTACAACTAGCAGCGACGACGCACAAACCCGCAACCACCACTGTCGATTAGGTACGGAGAACCACCGCCGTTGTCGATCTGTGCAGAGCCGCACGCAGCGATCTTCGATCTCCTCTTCATTACAGCTTCTCCATGCCTAAGAGTGTTCGTCGGCGACGATCTGCGACGGATAATGAATCACTGGTTATTTGTGATAGAAAGAAGGGAAAGAATACAGAAAGAGAAGGAAGAATATGGAGAGAGAAAATATAAGGAAGGGCTTGGAATAATTGGGTGAAGATATTTAATATTTAATTATTATATTGATACCTGAGTTTTGAATAAATAAACTTAACACCTTAATTTTGAAAATCAACTTTTTAAACACCTGATTTGTGTAATTTTCCCAAAAAACTATGTTATATGAGTGGATATTGAGTACACTTTAGCATTTAATAAAATTGACAAAAATAGCATTAAATTGGAGAAAATTATGATTTTATTTATTATTATTATTTTGAAAATTGCACTCCACCACTAGGATTTTTTCGTGGATATGAATGTTATCCTTTATATTTTGTATTTTCTTTTTAACTTGTGCAACATCTCGTAACTTCTATGGTGATTTATCTATAATTCTTTATTTTTCTTTCTGATTTAAGCCAAAAGAAATTTGGATATCTAGAACCATTTTAAAATTTTATTTTCTCCGCCAGTGTCGAGTTCACTATCTTGAATTGAGAATTCTCGAATTTGTTTAAAAAACAAAAGAAAATAACATTTATTTATATCATATGTTGAACAATATTATTTTCCGACTATTAGCCTTTGACACCTTCTTTGCAAGATTGTTACCAAGACAATGATGAATTGATTAAAACGAGTTCTCACATAAATCAATTCTCCTCACAGTGTGCTTTTGTCCTTGGGCGCAAGATAATAAATAATGTGATCTCCACGTTCGAATAATGAAATCCATGAGATGCAAAACAAATGTCAACCCGAACTTCATAGTGCTAAAACGGGATATGAGCAAAGCTTATGATCGTGCTAGTGACGAGTCGAATGGTGTTCTGAAGAAATTGGATCGAGCTCGTAAAGTAAGGTATGATATTGGCCATATTCTCTTTTCTAATTAATGGTCAAAACACTATAATTTACAAAAATATCGTCAAAATTTCGACGCGATTTTTACACCTACTCTTAGACCTAACAGAGAGTCAGGGTTGGGGTCATGCTTTGGGGATTAAATCAAAGAAGAAATGCCCATGCCTTCTCAAATAATCTAAACCACAAAAACTCCCAAAAAAAAAAAAGCATTGAACAAATGAATCTTGGTCTTGGACCTGAAATTTCCTTACAATGGATAAAACAAACATCATCGACCACTCAAATCGTCATCTCACACTAGCCACCCAGAGAAGCCCAATGAAGTCAAGAAAAACCCAAGAGACCAGGCCACCTTACTGACACCACTGAACAAACAAACGGTAGCCATAAAAATGCTGTGTAAAGGGTCAGCAGTAGCCTCTCCTTTTTTGAATTCCCCCAAGTTTCNCCCCCCCCCCCCCCCCCCCTCCTTTATGCCTATGCCCTTTGGAAAATTGATGAAATATATGGAGTTTGCTCTCTTTGCAATAAAGAAACCAGGGAAATTACAAGCAGGGAATTGGTGAAATTTTAATTTCCAATTCAAATTTTAAACCTATGCTTTTATACTCTGTTTTGAGGAAGCATATGACTTGCTCATAATTTGTTAAACTCTCATACAATTTTCTAAATGGAAAGTTGAGAATCTTCCACTTCAAGGAAATTAATTCTTATATGAATTGGAAGAATAACATTGGATGGTGCATAATATTATTAAGTGATTTAACTTAGCGAGGAGGTGAAGGAAACAAAAATAGTTGATGCTTGTGGAGTTCCAATGGCATTTCCTGTGAAACAAATTCTTTCCACTTTGTAAATCGAGATAAAGGTTTCCGGAAGGAGAGAACATTTTTTATTGAGGAATTTATTGGATTTTAGAGTAATGCTAGAAGGTCTTTAACTAGGAAAATATGAAGAATATAGAGACACTTGTGATACTAAGGAGTCAAAATACAGCCTTCAGTGCGTGAGTAAAGTTGTTAATACTTTCTGTTTTAGTGTAAACCGAATTTTCTTACATTTTACAGGTGTTATTTGGAAGGGAGATAAACTGATAGATGGAGTCCCAGAAACCCTTGATATGCTTCGTTCAAAGGTTAGCATTAAAACAATTTATCTTTTTTATGTGGTATGAATTAATTATGTCTTTGCATTGATAGCCAATAATTTGGTGTAGAAGAAGCTTTGAGTTCATCATTTGATTTTAAGACATACCAATCAAGAAAATACATGACTGTCTTGGTGGTGCATTTCTTACTTGTTTATAAATTGGATTCTTCTTTGTTTAGGGTAAGAGGTTAGTTTTTGTTACCAACAACTCAACAAAATCCCGGAAACAGTATGGGAAGAAGTTTGAAACACTTGGTCTTGATGTCAGTGAGGTGGGTTTATGATGATATGGTTTCAAGTTCTCATACTTCTATTACCTATACCTCTAACTGCCACTCTTCATTTCAGGAGGAAATCTTTGCATCATCATTTGCTGCAGCTGCTTACTTGAAGTCGATTGATTTCCCCAAGGATAAAAAGGTGTTTACAGTTTTAATAATTGACGAGTTTATGTTTTCTCTCTAAAGCCCACAGCCCAGGTTCATCTTACGTGCAGAACATCTGGTTGGAGTATTATTTTGCCAAAGAATTTACTATGCCCTTATCATCTCTAATTTTTGAGTTCATCGCTTCTGTCCTTGTAGTTTCTGTACCATAATCATAGTTCTTTTAATGTCTGCTCACTAATCATTGTTTATAGTATTGTTTGCTTAAATATAAGTACTAGTTATTAACATGAAATCTCATTTGTCAATGACTGACTATATTATGGCATGTTTTCAAGGTTTACGTTGTTGGAGAGGATGGTATCTTGAAAGAGCTCGAGTTAGCTGGAATTCAGTATCTTGGTGGGCCAGTATGTACTAGATTCTAAATTTATTATACTTTTAAGAACCTTTCTTTATTTTCAAACTATTTTATAAATCTATGTCTTACGTATGATTTGATTTAAAAGCTATCTAACATGGAGAATTCCTGAGCTTTCCATTCTTTCATTTAGAATTTAGAAGGAGAAAAGTTTCCGAAATAGAAGTCCCTGTCAATCATATTTAAACTACTAAGCAAGCACGGCCACAGTGTGTATGATAATACAGCTAATGACCACAGTTATAGTGTTCGCTGGTGGAAGTTTCTAGTTAGCATATAACTTACCAGTTGTTGCTTGCATGATTGACCATATCACTGGAAGTCATGACAGAAATCCAAAGAAACAAGACCTCAGGGAAAATGGTTTCAGCTTGTGGAAGAATGGTGTCAATAGCACATCACCGGACTTCATTTATATAACTAGACAAATGATTCATGATCTTATCCGTTTCTTTCTGGGAACTTAGTGTGAATCATGTTTTAAAAGAGAGTCACTTTATGGACCTGAAATGGATATTTGCCTTGTTCGCATACATTCACATGTTGTTTACTTGCATGTTTGTGCAAGTCTGAAATCGCGTGGACGAGTATCTTGGATGTTTTGCATATTTTTGTAGTGTTATGATCTATTCCATTGTATGTACTGTTTCTACTGCTGTTCTGCTAATTTGAATTTGCAGTTGCGACGTATATGATCTCTAAGGTTTGACCAATGCTTAACTCATGAATTATTTTATTTTGTAATTCTTTCCATTCTTGACGATCTCGACAGTGCTAAACTCATGTGCCATCTCTATTTTTATGTGTCGTAGGTAGATGGTGAGAAGAAGATTGAGCTAAAGCCAGGTTATATGATGGAACACGATGAGAATGTACATATCCATCATCTTATGCTTCTGAAATTTAATTTCTACTTCACATATTCCTTTATAGAAACTGGCATTACCACCTACTGCTATAGACATAAAACATAACAGGAACTCTGTTAATAAGATTATTGTTTTGATTACACTTGCACTAATCACTTGTCTATTTTGGACTAGGTTGGGGCTGTTGTAGTTGGATTTGATCGATATTTCAACTATTACAAAATTCAGTAAGTTTTCTTGATTTCACTGAAACTATATCTAATGTAATTTTCCTCCTGTCTTTACCCTGGTCACTGCGTTATACAGAAGGTAGTTAAGGAATTTTCAAGGTTGAAGAGGATTTCGTTTGGCTGAATGAATCTTGACTCATTTTTTCCATCCTAAATATATGAAATGAATTATTACAGTAAAATTTTTATCCTTATTGTCCTTAATAAAACCAAATCGCCATTACTGCCATTATTAGTTACATAAATTATACTTCTGATATACTACTACAGCTTCTATATACATAAGCGACAACCAAAACAAATGATATAGATTCTCGTTGGCCCAAAATCTGCAGTGGCAATTCAATCTTTTTATGATTCTAGGAGCTCCATATTTTAGAAAATTGTATGATTTTGAATGTCTGAAATATATGTTAGGAAGGATTTACTGGCCTCAATAAAACACGTTTATTTGGACACGCACATACATATTTATTATAATTTATGTAATCAATCTTAGATATCTAATTTTTCCTCTATGAAGGTACGCGACTCTGTGCATTCGTGAAAACCCAGGCTGTCTTTTCATCGCGACAAACCGAGACGCTGTGACTCATCTCACTGATGCTCAAGAATGGGCAGGTTTCACTTCAATTAGCTTTTTTTACGCACTCAATGCATTGATCTGGCACATAATACATGAGAACTTTGAGCTTCACAGGTGTTCTGAATTTTAAGCATGAAAATGGTTTCCCGATGTTGCAAAAATTGTACTTTGGAATTTGGATACAATTAAAAAGACTATAAAGTAGAAGCATTTTCATTCTTGCACTTGGAAGCAAAAAACTTCTGTATCTAAATAGATGAACCCCCACAGAAATCTTATATATCCATGTATTTTTACATTTTTCAGAAACAAAAATTTATTTTGGGATGACAACTAGGGATTTTTGAGTCGGTCCATGGGTACTCCTTTTACTTATGTATCATTTGTGCTGAAATTCGTATGGCCACGTTTGTTGGCTCGTTAGCGCATCTAACATTCATGTCTGCATAGTAACTGCACACACACTTCATGACAATTTCGACATTTGCAGGGATTGGTAGTCTAGTTAAACATCTCTTAGGATCACAATACAAATGGGATAAGCCAATAAGGGCTGGTCCATATATCCTTAGTTAAAAACTCACAGACCAACTTTTGATTACTTTTGCACCCTTGGTTAGATAACTCGGAAATGAATTTACTTGGGTTATTTTATTCTCGTTTTTTGAACTTTTAAGGATTGAGAATCTTGATCGATACATTATCTTGAACTTTTGAGGCATTTGCTAGACTGCGTTTCAGAATTATTATTTGAGGATGTACGTGTTACATCTGAATTAAATGCATTTTTCCATTATTTTTCATAAGAACAACAATATTTTGTGCTTAAAATGCTATACTTTGTCATGGTCTAAGAATTAAGTCTCCATTATCCTGAACTTGCTTGCATAATGTTGCTCGAAATCAGGTGGTGGTTCAATGGTAGGTGCCATTGGTGGATCCACTCAACGTGAGCCTGTTGTTGTAGGAAAGCCCTCGACTTTTATGATGGATTACTTAGCGAACAAGTATGGTGCCCAAACTTTTAGTTTCCTCTCTGCCATTTCAGGGTTCAAATGTTCTGTATTCTGTATTTACATTGTTCTTTTCGGTTATCTGTAAACATAGGTAATGTTGTAAGAATTTTTCTGATGTTAGAGATTCGGCCATAGCTTAGCTTGATGAAAGAAATCCAAATATCTTTTCTGTTTTATCTCTAACATTAGTTTCTTTAACTAAAAACATCACAGATTCAGCATCTCGAAGTCTCAAATATGCATGGTCGGAGACAGACTCGATACTGACATTCTTTTCGGACAAAATGGTGGCTGTAAAACCCTTCTCGTCCTCTCAGGTAATTTTCAGACAAGATTTGTTTTTTCGTTCATTATGACGTTAAAATTCATTGAGTATGTCATCTGAAATACTTGTATTTCCCATCTTAAGGTGTAACATCTCTGTCGATGCTTCAAAATCCTGATAATTCGATACAGCCGGACTTCTACACCACCAAGATTTCAGATTTTCTCTCACTCAAAGCTGCAACTGTATAAGAGATCTTGAAATCATATATTTCTATTAATCCATGTAATTGTTGCTTCTCTCATTGGAGAAGATAAGAGCTATTAGTTAAATACAAGTTTATTGTGATTTTTTTAGACATGAAAAATTAGATGTAATTTCTATGACATATGTTTTAATACTAATTCTTATAAAATAATTTATTCTCTTTTTCATTTTTTTTCCTTTTTGAAAGAGAAGAAGGGTAATGAAAATAGACGCAAAAGTTCAATAAAAATGATATAAATTAGACGTTACACATAACACTAAACACGACGTCGTTGATCGCATAAATATTGTGATGGATTCTTATAATTATTACATATATTTATGAGCCTACTCGATTTATCTTTGTTCTTTTTAGTTATGAATCTATTACTTGGCAAGGTAATGCAAAATAAATAATTCATCTAAAATAGCTTTATTTTCATTTAGTGCTTGTTAACAGATGTTTCGTTTTTTTTTTTTTTTAGAATTTAACACTAAGTTGATAATTTGTAGTAGTCCTTAAAAGTTACTTTTTTAAAACGCAAATTAAGATTTACCTTCTAGAAAATTAAATTTTATTAGTAAAAATTAGTTTTAAAAATTATATTTTATTTACAAATATATTTAGATATGTTAGTTAAAATTCAAAAAAGTAATTTATTTTAAAAGTTAAAATTCAAAAAGTAATTTATTTTAAAAGTAACTCTTGACCTCAATATATATTTTTTTAACTCGGCCAATGAATGAATTATTTATTTTACAATTTAATTATTTAAAAAGTAAACGTTTTAAGGTAGAGAAATCGGTATACATGGGCTCGGAATTAACGAACTCCACGTCTCCACCCAATCTTGAATCTTTCACGCAGTTGCTGTAAAACCCTCTCTCTCCTACATACGCACACTGAGACACAGAAGCCGCGGTCCTTTCTCTCTCATCATCTCCCCATTTTTGCAGGTGGGTTTTTTCGAATTATAGATTGTTCTTTGATTTACCGAAAAGCTTTTATTGCACCTGAACTAAGAGGAAAACTGAATTTTCCCATTTGGTATACATGTATAATTTCATTTTCAGCCGGGCCTTTTTTAATTCTTTCTAATTTGTTTTATTTGTTAAAGAATGTTTATTATTGCATTTTTTCCCAATTTGCAGATAACTTTGTAGCTTTTACAGAGGGGTGCCATTTAAGTAGATAATATTATATGTACCGTCTGTGTTATCATTGCTCTGCAGGTATTGGTTCTGACTCTTGCTCTCTCCAACTTCCATAGAAATTTTCTTTTTTTTTTCTTTAATTTCTGTTGAATTTGTTAGTGGTACATCACTGAATCTTTCAAAATTATCGGTATTAGTGATATAAGCATCTGTATTGTCCAATTCCAATAATGTATGTTGTTAGATAATGTGTCCAACAAGCTCAACATTTCTCCAGATCAGGAAATTTATTATATGTATATATACTAATTTTACTCCCGTGGACTGTGGACGGGGTAGAATGTTATGGATAAGTTCTAGTTCCTGTTTAAGAGAGCAATAGAAGAAACCAAAACAACTAAAGCACACACAGATTGGTCCACTTTCACCCAATCACCCCTACTGATTTTCATTATGAAGAAGAAAGTTTGCGAAGGAAAATGTGTATGATATTATTAGGCTCCATTACCTCCATACATTCCAGCGATGAGCTTGTTGCAAGATACCCAACCTATTGATTGCTGTCATATTTCAATGTTGAACGAAGCGAGTGGTTTTCAATTGAAATATGGAAGAGGGCACTTGACACTAGTAGTATAGAAGAGTGGATATTCCCCCCACAGAATTCGTTTAGTTATGGGTATTTTTATGCTATAGGACTTTAGGTGCTAATTTCCTTTAACTTTTATGCACATATATATATGAATAAGTTATTAAAAATTGCCATTTTCAATTCATACTTGTGTCAATCTGTCTCCTATGATTTGTAGTCTGTAGTGTTGGTTTTCAACAATTGATTGATAATTGATTGAACTGTGTATTTGAATAGTAAAATAATATATTCTTTTATTCTTTATGTCAGCATTCGATTTATGTTTTCTATTCCTATGTCTCCATTCTAATTCTTTGCATTGCTTCAAAGACGTCACTGAACAAGGCTCAGAAGCATCTGCTTTTTCCACCTGCACCATACATTTTTATGTTTTCTTCTCATTTGCTTATTTCCATTAATCTTTGAAGAGAATTTTTCTTTAGCAAGCCAACAATAAGGGAATTATGTGAACGTTTGTAATGAATATTGGCAAAGAATTCTTAATATGGTTAAAGTGCGTGCCATCTGTTGCTTCAAAATTCTTCAAAAAAATTCTCACATATGGACTTGATGAAATTAGGATATATGACCAATTTATATCATGGAGTAAGCTCGGTACTATTCAAAGTATATATCTCTCTGGAACTTTTCTTCTTCTAGGTCTGCATGCACATATGCTTTATTTATCTTCCTCCGTGTGTATTCTGCAGTTGATGGCCTGTCGAATGGATGCTAGAGTGCTGCAGTCTATATCTGTGGTAGAGAATGAAAGCTTTAGATCATATATGGTTCTCAGAAGCTGTCATGCTATCCAGGATTTGGTCCACACACACAACTTCACTAGACAAACCTCAAAGCTTGGCATACCTTCTTATAGAAAGAGGTAATTTCTGAACTTGCTAGGCATGTCTTAATTGTTTTAACGGTCCTGCAGCTGGGTGATTGGGTAGCAAAAGGTGTTGGGATGAGATTATTTGATCTTTGAATGGAAAAAAGTAGAAGGGTTGGTTGTTACAGTTCAGTTGGAAGGATGAGGGAGAAGAGAGGATAATATTGACGCATTTTTCGCTGTGAGGTTTTTGGGCAATTAGCTGTTGAGGGATTACTAAATGTTTGTGTGAATTTTTAGAGGGATGACCAAATGATTTTGACCTTATAAGTAGGTATTCAAAGAGTTTTATGTAGCACTGAGTAGTTCCATATTGCTCATAAAGTTGTATGCCTTTTGTTTGAACCACCTCGTTTAAAAGCTTAAACTATTAGCTGGGGACAGATTTATTTATGAATTTTGTATTAGATATGCCCCTCATATACATGACTGATTCATTTTTCATCAATACTAAGACACATCCACAAGTTTCATAGGTTCGAATCCAATATATTTGTGTACTCTGATTCTGTTAGAGATGGTGCAAAATTATTTATTTAATTTAAGTCGAAGTTCCCCCTCAGATACAGCCCAAAAACAATTTTTTTGGTCAAATGTTTGACGTGTGCACAATTTTTACAACTATGAGACTTGAAGACACCATGATTGCATGGATATATTGAACCTCCTAGTTTAAGAGCTTAAGCTATCAGATATGGGGCAATTATATATTTAAATTGTCTCCTGTACCTTCTTTTTTTTTACCAATTCTTGCGTAAGCTACAATGTAAGCTGTGTGGGAAGTTTGTTGAAACATTGATTTTTGTGTTGAAATCTGCCTACAATAGACTGTTTCAGTCAGCATGGACTAGAGAAGTGACTGGAACGTCATCTTCTTAATTTAGAATTTGCACTTATCATGTTTTGTATTCAGTAGTCCCAGTAGATCTTAATTCCATGTGTGTTTGTACGTTAAAACAGTTCTAGGTCAAGAAGACAAGATTGGAGAATAGCGATGACTTTCGACACTAATGGATTTACTGCCAATGATAACCAAGATAGCCTCAATGAAGACAACTCTGGTCTTGGTGGAACTCGTTTGGGCAGGATAGTAGGTGCTGGTGGTAGGCAGCTGTTGAGTAAACTGAATTCAGCTCGGAAGAATTTTCCCATGAAGGTATTTCTTCTCCTCTTAGGATTTTACACAGCAAATGCCTTGGCTACGATTCTTGGGCAGACGGGAGACTGGGATGTATTGGTAGCTGGAGTGGTTGTTGCTGCTATAGAGGGTATTGGTATGCTAATGTATGGAAAACCCATCTTTACGGGGAGGCTACAGTCTCTTGTTGTGATGGTGAACTATTGGAAAGCTGGGGTTTGCTTAGGACTCTTTGTTGATGCTTTCAAATTAGGCAGTTGACATTTTCCTGTCCTCTTTTATTGTCCGACCTCTTGATTTATAGTGTTTCTCTTCGTCTCAGGAAACTTTTTGCTGCTCACAGTTTTTAGAACCACTTCGACCCAACGTAAATGTGTAGAAGGTGTTGTATCGTTTTGTAGGTATTCATAGATAATGCAAATGTACAAGCTTGAACTTTGTTGATCTAATAAATGTCATCATTAAAAAGAAAGGCTGATGGACTACATTTGTTAAAACACTTTAGAAGAGGTGTCAAAGAACCAAAGGACTTTTCCTCCTGCAGTAGCTTTGGCATCACAAGAAGAGCTTAGCTTAACATAGACCAGTTTTAATCAACAGGAGGCTTCCTCAGTAGCTTTTTACTCGAAAAATTTGCTACAAAACTTCATGGAGATTTGTTTTTATAAGAGGGTGGAGGAAAAAGTTGAGCCACTTACAAAAAAAATCGAAAAGGTTTCTACTTTTTATACGACATAAAGGTTACTACTTTTAACTGTTAAATGCAAAGCAATCTGCTGCATTGCATACAAATTCGTCCCAGTAAACATGCTTATACACGAACAGAATGATCAAGTTTCTTTACGCAAGTGATTAGAAATCAGGTTAGCATGCACAGAGTAATCAATTTTCATTTTTCCTCCACGCCACTTCAATCTCTTCTTAAAACAGATTTGATTTCTTCACCTTGCCCGGTTTGTCTGGAGTTGTACGCAGGCATCAAAAGTTTCTTATAACTATAATCCATTGGTTTCTATTCTGATATCACCATCAAATCACATGAAATGAATGAGTACGAGAGAAGAAAAAAATGGATATCAGCAGGCATTATCGGCCCTCATTCACCCCGTCCATGGTGATCATCATTAGGATTTAGAAAGTTCAAAAGCATGGCATTCCAAGAGAGAAGCCTGTTGCTTTTGATTTACCAAGTTACTTCTATCCACAGACAACCTTCATTTTATTCTGTAATAACTAGAAATAATGACTCAAATTAGTTGGACTAACAAAGACTCAGATTTTCCTACAAGTGAATTAAATCAAGAATTATATAAAATTGTGCCAAGGGAATGCAATCAAGAGAAAGAATTGATCTCATTAAGATGTATAGATACGTATGGGAGATGAAAGCAGGGTCCTGCTTACTATCATAAAGGTATTTAAATAAATCAGTGTATCCGCTCTCCAACAACCTCATGCACAGGCACCAAGGCATCCAGAACCACCAAGAAACTGTATCAATCCTTCTTGAAAGTTGACATCCGCACTGAATTTGACAAAATTTACACCACCTCATCAGCCAAAATTGATTGCAAATCTCAGAATGAGCAGCTTATTGTTTTGGTGGACTCAATTGAATCGAGAATCACGATGATGATAGGATAAACCAAATTAAATACCAGAAGCAGAGATCTCCAGAAGACAGTTTCCTCATTTTTTATATCAAAGCACAGATGCTAACCTGCTAAATCTCCACATCCTAATGTGGGTCCTCCGTAGACAATAATCAGAGTCTATGGATCACTTCACCAATGCCATCTGTGTAATCTGTTGACATCTATCTCTTAATTTAAGGGTATGAACTACATTCTTCAAATCCTCCAGAGTACAACCTGGCACTCTTTTAATTCCTCTCTCCTTCATCATATCCCTTATCCTAGAAACTTCTTCCCATTTACCAGCTACGGCATAAATATTAACCAGCAACATGTAATATGAAAATTTCTGAGGATCTTGCTCAATTAATTCTTTAGCAATTTTTTCCCCTAAGATCAGATCCCCTTGAAATCGAGATGACCCGAGCAATCCTGCCCACAATGAGGATTCTGGAGACACATCCTTGTCAGCTGGTATGTTCATTAAGATATTCACTGCCTCTTGCACTAGACCAACATTGGCCATAAGATTAGCCATGCACCAGTAATGTGCAAAATTGGGCTTCACATGAAACACATCAACCATTTGGGAGAAGTAGTTTCTCCCCTCTACCAACATTCCTTTCCGGGCACAGGCACATAAAATGCCAATAAAGGTAACCTCATCTGGGAGAATTTTATCCCGCTCATTTAACTTTACATTCTTATTGGTATTTACATTTGAATCCCCGAGTACTCTGGTTTTCTCAACCATTTCTGTGTATAAACTGATCCCATCAACTGGATTCCCGTGAATGCAGTACCCCAATATCATTGCATTCCAACAAACCAAGTTCTTGATCAACATCCTATCAAAAATTACTCGAGCTGCATCCACCCTTCCACATTTACTATACATATTAATCATAGCTGTATCTATAATCAAACTCAAATTCAAAAACATCCTAACAAGAAACCCGTGAGCTGATTTTCCTTCCTTCAGTCTGTTAGATCTACCACAAGCCGTAAGCACGCTCACCATCGTTGTATCATTGCAGATAAATCTTATCCTCGCCATTTCCCGAAACAACTTCAATGCATTGCCTGGGTTTCCAAAATTCAAATAACCTGTGATCATAACATTCCAAGAAACTACATTCCTCTCAGGCATTGCATCAAACACGTGATGCGCTTGTCCCATCTCCCCAACCTTAGCAAAACCATCAACAATCGTGTTCCATGACACCAAGTCCCTCACAGGCATCTCAACATACACTTTCTCAGCAATTTCCATGAGCCCACAACAAGCATACAAATGAATCAAAGAATTCTGCACAGGCAAAACCCCATCAACACCATGTTTCAGAGCTTGCCCGTGACACTTCTGACCCGAGCTCAAACAACCCATTTTAGCACAGGCACTGAAAAGAGGTGGGTAAGTGAAACTGTTAGGTAAAAGGTAACCACGCTGAAGCATTTCAAAATACAAGCCCACAGCTTTATGAGGCACAGAGCTGCAAGAATAGGCCTTGATAACAGTGTTGACACAGAAAGTATCAGGAACCTCAATACACTTGAAAATCAACATTACATAATCTATATCATCAGATAAAGTAGAAAACAATCTCAAAATCCTCCCATAGAAAGAAGGGTTTCTGAAGAGGCCCGATGTTATTGAATGAGCTTGGATTTGGAAAGATTGACTCAAACTTCGACAAGAATTCAGAATGTACAGACAATTATTTTCCTTTTTATTATAATAATTACTAGAAGTATTGGTTAAATCTGATGAAGAAAGAGTCGAATAATAGCAAAATGGCTTCGAGGGATTTACGTTTGTAAACTGAGAGATTCTGAAGCGAAGCAGGTGGTCTATTAAAGACAAGTTCCTTGCCATTCAACATTCATCTGCTGCTCGTTTCCTTTCACTGTTTCAACTCTATATTTCGTCCGCCATTAGCGTTCTTCGACAGTACTAGCTGCGTTTGCCTGCTTATGAAGGTCTTGTCGAGCGGGTAGACTTGTGAAAGCCCATGGCGCAAAAAGGATCGTGGGCCTGGTCTTAGTTTACGTGGCCCAGCTCCAGTCGGGTCAAGTGAATTTATTAATTTTTTATAAAATTAAAAATGAAAATTCTCTTTTTAAGTCTCCATCAAAAAGAATAAAAAGAATTTCAAAAATACTTAAAAAAAAAAAGTCCTTACTTGAAAAAATAAGATTGTAAATCTATTTTATTATACAATTATGCTACATGTACATCAAATATGACATCATGTAAATTGATAGATTTTTGTACATTGATTTTAACAACACTTTTTTCAATCAATAATCAGTTTTTTGCATAGGATTTGTAAAACTTAATGCCAACAAAGAATGTGCAAGAAGCATAATTCTTTATCATACTATCTTGTTCACCCATCCCTCTAGGATTTCGTTACTTGTACATCAAAATGATACATAAGCGATTACCGTAAATGATGTGGACTAAAAAATAAAAATAAAAGGTGATTATGTTTTAAAGTGACAGATAGTAGAGTATCATGTGACATTATGTAATTTCTTATGTAAATCTTGATGTAAATGAAACAAGATCCATCCCTCTATCGATTAGTCCCGCATCGTTAGATAACAAAATTTATAACGAGATTATAAACAAAAACTATTGTCCTTAAATCGTGTGAACTACACAAGTCATTCAAACTAATTTTGACTTAGTGAAATCAAAGCTTTACACCAGTTGTGGTTAAGGATAACTCAGTCCTTATTCCATTTTTCGAATTAAGTGCTTCCTTCTAAAAATATAGTCATAAGCCTAGGATTTTGTTTAGAGAAACTCATTCTCTCCTAAATTCATTTTCAACCATATATTTTTTCAATAAAATAATTTTACAAGTAAATCCATAATTTTTCCTTACTTGTAATCAAACAATCTCCAAAAAACACTTTTAAAAATGCATTCTCAAAAAATCTCTATCCAACAGGGGTTGAGGTTGAGTTAGACCACTTTCTTAGAAACCATTTCTAAATATGGAAGGAAAATGTCATGGATCGAAATCTCAAACATAAGCTAAGTTACTACACAAGCACAAACCAGCCCTCAGATAGATATAACCCACTATACCAGAAATTTTGTTACAATCTTTCGTAAGTATCTATAAATTTTTACAATGACTTCTAAGTTTGAGACAGTCTTTACGAGGAAGAGGTTTACTCAAAATGTGCGATGGAGATGGTCAAACACGTTAAATATTACCATAAAGGTGAAAAGAACAAATATTGAGACTTGTAATATCTTCATGTGGAGTGGTGTGGCTAGTGGCGGCTGGACTCTTATTCAGCTCCTTCACTTTCCATTCTTTTTATTCATCCATCGACCTCATCATTCCTTCTTTTGCCCAAAGAGCAAACCCATTGAGTATGTGTTCCCCTTCTGAGCTGCAGCTTCAACCCGCTTTGCTCCAATCTACAACGAGATAATAATACAGATGTTACTGACAAAATAAACGTGAGGCGTATCCATTTTGTGCAAGTTTGATTCACACAACTACGAGATAGAGTGAATGCAAGTTTAACTTCTTCTTTTTTTGTCTTAATAGTGTCCAGCCATGCTCAGTACTATATACCAAACATGCTCTTAGAAAACTATTTTCCGAGGAAAAGATTTTAATTTTCTCGCATCCTACAAAGACAGTGCCAGATCAGATCTGGTAAGAAGATATGCAACAAAGATTTATTATATAAATCAGCAAGGCACCATCAAAATTACAGGCATGGTCACCAAACATGTTCTATTAAATAAACATCAGAAGAATGATTTTATAGATAGTAAACATTAGAAGAATGACTGCCTTGGAAGTAAGCCTACCTTATCCATTAGCCAATATCCAACTGTTGGTGTATACTGTACCAAGTACATAACAAGAAGCACAGGCTGCACGATAAAAAAAAAAGATTGCAACTTAGAATTTCCAAGTATGATTTACATAAAATGATAAGTTCTAAAGCAGTATGTTGAACATAAAATGAGCAACTCTCAGGCAAATATGTTCAGCACCAGCTCACAAGTGAACCTAATTCTCAGATATTCAGCATTTAACAGGGCAGGAGTATATATTGCATGCCAGTCTATCTGGTTTAGAAAAGTTTTTCACTGAAACTGATGGGTTCACAACAGGTATAGAGATCGAGCATAGTACAATACTCCTTTAAATTGGCATCATGGAAGGGTTCACAATGGGTGCGGGGATCGTGCATACAGTATTCCTTTAAATCGGTATAATGATAGTAAAAATCTCTATTGACAAACCTGATTTGATATCCAAGCTTCCTTCAGACCATGACTTGCAGCGATTATAGTCAATTCTGCACATCTCTCTGATGATACGCGTTTCTGGAAAGCAATAAAGATATGCTATAATGGTTCTACCATGTCACAGGTTTTCCAGTTAAAAACTTAAAATGATTACATGACAACTCTAGAAGCTGACATTTTCATTAATCACGTGCTTGACAACATAGTTTCTCCATAACAGATAAATAGCAACTGGTATAATTGGGAAGCAAATCCTACTTCTTTAGCAATCAAATATATATGCAAACAACAGTCGATGTACTAAGTAATGAAGTAAAGAGAAACAGCTTCCACTCACTTCCACATTTAAGTTGTGTTGGCATGACTTAAAATATAACATCCCATAGTGACATACAAAGAACGAGAAAATAATAGATTTTAATTATTTTACTTTGTCATTTCATGATTCTGTATGAACAAGAAATCTATTCCAAGAAAATAATTTAGTTGAGAAGTGTAATAAAGTTTGTGCCATCCTTTTTTTCCAACTAAATGTTGGAATATATCGTATGGAAGACGGTACTCTGTTTTGAAGACAACTATATTGTTATGATGAATAATTCTACTTGTACATAAGGAGTTACGAAAAAACTACAGAAATAGATGGTGTCAAGTAGAGAGTCGAGAATAATTTTTTTTTTTTTTTGAAGAAATTCTAACTCAATTATATCTCACTACATCATATGTATGTACATCAATCTGTAAGTGGTGATGTACATGTAGCACAAACGTGTTATGATAGGGTTCATATATGTATGACATTACATATTGGGCCATAATGGGATGAACATGTACTTAACTACCTTACTGTGAGGCCCATGGGCTCACTCTTTTATAGTGTTTTGGTCAGCCCATTAAGCTAAATAACCTCTCTAGAACAGTTATTAAGGCCCAAACACTGCATATTACCCATAAGCCTTGCATTAGACTGGGCTAAAACTTGGTTATAAGCATCTTGGTGTGTTAAGGGCTTGTGGGGTTTTTGTGTGTGTGTGTGAAACGTGAACTAAAAGTGGTAAGTTTCAATGTGAAGGAAAAGAACTTGAGTTTTCTTTTGCAAAGTCTTGTCCAATTTCACACGCAATCGAGCAATATGAATGCTTAATATTCATCACCAAATAATGAGGTTAGTACAGCATTAACATACTACATACATTTATATGATTCAAATTTAGTGGAATATACGGTGAATTTGCAAAAAATAAATCTCAAATATTAGAAAAACAATGGAAAAACTTGGTTTTGCACTTGATTCATGTTTATTATTTTTGCAAAAATCCAACACTAAAAAGCCAAAATGAGCAAATGTAGACTACAAAAATCTTTCGTGTGAAACAAAAATATATTACTAAGTTATTCTATATTTAAAGGAAAGTAAAGATTATAGAGTAAAATATATTACCTATATGTAATATCTCAATTAGGTCTTCAAGCATATGCTTGTTGAATTTGGGTCTCAAACTTTCAATTTTGTCACACACAGATCCCAGACCCAGATTAGGGGTGTCCAAAAGTCCTGAACCGGACCGAACCGACCCGAACCGAACCCGACCCGACCCGACCCGAACCGAACCGAGTGGTTCTTCATAAATTAAATACACGAATGGGTACCCGAATCGAGAATCGATGGGTTTGGGTCGGGTCTAGGGTCTAGACCAAGAACCGAATAAGAACCTAAACTAAATAATTTTTTTTATTTTTTATAATGAATTAATTAAATTATTTTATTTTTTTCTAAACAAATTAGCAAATTAATTAAATATATATTCTAGACTCTTGAAAGTTTCCCAAGATGGAATTTGTATTGAAGAAACAGAGTTCTATGAGAGCATTAAGAAAGGTAATAAACATATATTATCTTTTTTTATTAAATCTTATTAGTTGAATAATTTTTAATTTATTTGTGTTTATTAATTGTGCTTTTTCAATTATACTTGTAGAGTTTCTTACCATGACAAGTCAAGCAATTGATGATTAAATCAAATAGTTGGTAAGTATTACTAATACTTAAAAATATTTTATTTTTATAATTTCTAATTTATATTTCATTTTCTTTATACAGGCAGGCTGCTTGAAGCAAATGAATTTACTTTATGTAGTGTTGCTGTAATATTAATATCTACTTTTTGATATTTGTATGCATTAAATTAATCTTATTGGACGACTAGTTATTTATATGTTTTTGAATTGGGCTAAATTAATTTGTAAAAGTTACGAATAAAATATCATTAGTTGTATTTATGTAGTGTTGCTGTAAATATTTAAAAATTTAATTATAGTACGGAACCGAATGAAACCGTACCCGAACGGTTCCATAATTATATTTGGACCCGACGGGTTCCATTTATTAAATACCCAAAGTTTTGGGTCGGTTCGGTTCTCTTCAGAACCGAATCGACCCGACCCACCCCATGGACAGCCCTATCCCAGATACTCGGTTTCGGTCCAGAGTAGGATGAACAAAACAGGGAGTGAGACGAAATCAAAATTGGAGATTGGGTGGGAAAACCAGCAGGCGAGAGATGAGGTGGGGTGAGGGTGAAAGCCAAAAGCAGTCAACGGCAGTGGTGTTGAGGGAGGTGTGCTGCTTTTTTTTTTTTTATTCCTTTATCTTTTCCTCTACTTTCTCTTTTCTTTTCTATTAATATTTTCATTGTAAAAATAAGGACCTAACTATTTTATCCCTCAAACAGTGCACGTGATTTTTTATCGTTCAAATGGAGCAAAACCGTCCATTAAGGACCCATCTACAAACTGAATTGAAAGGTTGCAGACTCAAATGCTAAAAAAATTGGTTGGGTACCCCAAGTGTAATCCCTCCCCCCCCAAAAAAAAGTACCTTTCATGTGAACAGTATTATACAAAATGATTTCATATTTTACCTCAGCAGAACCCTTCTGTTCTGAGATGCTTGCTCCAGAGCTGGTAGACGTCGCTACAGGCCCTGGACAAACAATAGTAACCTTGATTCCTTTTCGGCAAAGCTGAAAGAACCAAAGATCATATGAATACAGAAAATAAAGATAGTAACTTAAAAACATTAATCATCCAACTCATCAAACTGATAAGTCTACAGAACACAACCACGTTTAGTTATTTAATCAGACTTTCATCTTCCTTCACAGCTAGTTAGAGAAACTGCTGCTGAAATCTTTTAAAAACATAGATGTGGATAGCCCTAATGATTTAAAAGAATCAATTCCCTCAGCTTTGTTAATAAAATGTAAAAATAAATAGAGAAAACACTTCATTTGCTGCTTCTGTGGCTTAATGCACAATATTGAACAGAAACTTAGTGAATAATGTGTGGGTCCAAACAACAACAATCTTGGACATACATTTGGGCAAGAAACTCTACGCCTCGAATATATTGGTTTGTAGCGTATAAAAGGATGAATAAATAGCCAATTATTCTGCATTACGTGCTTAGCATATCAAATTTTTTCTTTCATTACGAATTTATGTGCGATGGCATACCTCAGATCGCAATGTATGGAAGTACCCATTTACAGCAAATTTGGAAGCAGAGTAGACAGCTTGACCTGGTGCAGGTACTTTTCCTGCAGCACTGCTCATCTGCATATAGAAAGCATGCAAATGAAAAAATGGAAAAGGTGGAAAGAAACTCTACACTAGTATAAACTTGGTCTAAATACTTGATGTCTAGTTAGTCATTAAAACTCAACCACTGCACTTGGAAAAAGTGATTGAAGAAGTTCAACAGTCTGGGTCATAACCAGATGATATTGCAAAGATAGTAATTATTCTGGTTCATTTGCATGTCTAGCCATACAATTCCAGTCACATATATCACTGAAATTCTTGCAATTGTATTAGATCAGAAAAAAAGTGAAAAACATTTGGTATGAAGGTAGGCAACAATTCGCAGAGAAAGAAATGGTTTCATATAAAGGCTTGGCACTAAAAGATCAAGTAGAAGGTACCACCTTCCCCAGATCCACATAAATTAGATCACTCCTATCATATACATTAGAAAAAACAATTGATGAATGAACTCATTAACATGACATACCACAACAAAATGTCCTCTTCCCCGCTTCAGCATGTAAGGTGCCAGGAGTCGCGTAAGAGATAGTGGCCCCATAACATTTACATCAAATGTGGCCTACTAGGAAGTAAAATAGTTAAAAAGGTGTACACGGTAAAACTTACAAGTATCAAATGTAAAAAAATTTTTGATAAGAAATATCAAATGTAAAAATGGAGAGTAGATTATTTCCTTGAACTCATTCAGAAGAGACTAATAATAATATTCATATTTCTAAGCAAGGCTGATTCCCACAAGGGCAGCACGAGGCCCCATGAGGAATCAACCTCTTGTTGCTGCTGTAACAATAAAGAGTGAAATAAAAACTAATAAATTCTGATCTGTTGGAAAGGAAGAATTTCTATCCAATCTAGTCATGATATGATATAGCAAAAGTAGAGTAAACTGTGATTATAATACAAGTATTTTATTAGATTGATCTATCCATATATTTAAAATGTAGAAAGTCGTCTTTGATGAAAATTTCTATTGACTAAAAATCCAAGTCTTCCTCTCCCTCCCATGTTTTGAGAAGCAAAATAGCTAAAGATTTTGCAGGAGTAGCTACGAGGTTTGCTAGAATTTAATTTTTAGCCCACCCCATCCTGAAAAGCCAAAAAAATAAAAATGCATGCACACACATAATTGTCCCCAATATCATAACAGATAAAAGAAAGAGATAAGGTACGATAACTTTCACTTAATATAAAATCAATTGGTCTGACACCATATGAATTTATGCCAGTATAAATTTTGACTATAAATGATTTTATTAAATCTATTAGCATGATCTTTGTGCTCGTTAAATTTTGAATATTTGCAGAATACCATGATCAAGTTCATACTCCTAACATCAATGCTCTAGGTCCTAACCAGAACTAACAAACCAACCTGTCCTAATGAGTTTTGTTCAAGTCAAGATACATGGAAACAGGTATAATCAGCATTAACAACACTTCTACCCGGGTACGATACCTTGAGGCTGTCCTCTGTCACATCTAGAGCTGTTGTTTTCTGCAAAACAGATTCATATTACCTGCTCAATAAACATCTATATAATAAAAAAAAAAAAAATAATTCTCAAATTGATTCCATAGATAAAGACGTGAAGTCAGCAGGTATATAAAACGGCATATTCTGCTTTAGAAAGAAAAGGATAATGTAACTAGTAAGTCATAGATCCCTTCTTTGTTCTGCGTTTGATCCTCTAAAAAAGAATGTTCTCTTGTAGTAATCTTATCTTATGCTTTTACACCCCACAGTACAGCCACCCCTTTTCTCCAGCCAAAGAATAAAAGATTGAAGTGTAAATAAAGGTTTGCCTAGGTCATTCGTAATTATTCCTCCCACTCGTAACTCACTTCTTTTAATTGTTGCAATCCAATAGACTTCATTGCTTTGAAAAACTTGGGCAAGGTCAACGTTTCTATCTTTTGGTATTTCAGAGTTTTATCCCTTCATTGCAACTTGCAGGTGGTCACGCCATTCTTCAAATGGAATACTATCTACCAAGTTGTAGCTAAACTCTTGTGTGTTCAATTTTACAGATATGTCATCTAATTGCCATTTACACAATATTCAATTACTTACAGGGCGCTCAAAGGCTGCATTGTGAAACATATAATCCACACCTGAACCCCCAAAAAAGGATTCTGCTTTCTCTACAGCCTCTCTAAGATAATCTTCTCCCAAAGTCAAGTCCAGAGGTAAAATCATCACATCATGTGGAGCATGTTTTCCTGGCTTAGCACAGAGTAATCAATGTAAGGAAACAAAAAATGAACATCCACAAGTTCTGTGTGTTATCAATAGGCCTTTTAAATTGGTAGCCAGATTGACAAACCAGTGAGCTGTTTCTTGACGCGCTGTAGTTCAGCTTCATTTCGAGCAGAAATAATAAGCTTTGCTCCTAGATTTGCAAGTTGTTTAGCAAGCACTTCCCCTGATCATCAATTCGTGAAGATTAAAACTATTTGAACCATGATGAGAAACAATTGTACAAGGTAGCAAATGAGATTTCTGAAATACTCGATAGGGTGCATGCTCAAAGAGTGGAAATTGAAGTAATAATGCAATCATTCTAACCCATAAAATCAGGGGAAAAAATATTTTCAGCATTCTGACTCTGACCAACATTTCCACAACATAAATAAATGAGATGTCCGAATAGGTTATGCTGAATTATGATCAATATTCTTCTCTGGATCAAGTCCAAAGACATAATCTTCTGTACAATATTATCAATGGAGGGTAACGTTTGACCCCGATAAACTTTACCGACAAGTTAAAAATACACTTTCAATATCAGGTACAACAGTAACATACCAAAAAAGTTGATAAAAGGAATCAAAAGATACTAATACCACATCTTATGTAACAACAAGATTAACAATGCAAACAATTCAGACATAGTAATTACTGAATTAAGTTTTAAAAGCTGGTATTAACTTAAACCACTTACCAATCCCTCGGCTGGACCCAGTAATCCAAATTACCTGTTTATCCATTCAAGAACATAAGCAAAACATAATCTAAAAAATCTGTATTTTTAGTAGAAATAAAATATACATAATTTATTTTTTTTACAAACCTTATCCTCGATCTCTTCGCGCTTCACGTGATTCTTGGACAATAACGTGAAATCCCCTAACGAATTCAAAGTTCAAACAACTGTAAGCTCAAAATTGAAAAGTTTTATAATGTACGATTCAATAAATTCTGACATAATTAAGCAAAAAAATTGAATAATCGTAATTAATATACCATCGGCTTTAAGAAACCTCAAGGAAAATCCAATGAAAAAAGAAAGGAATAAGGACGATAATAAAAGGGTCAGCATTTTCCACACTTTCGTTCTTGTTCTATGGTTTCTCAGTAGAGCTTCTAGTTTATAGTAAAAAATAGTACGGGAAAAGGACGGCTATTTTATCTACAAGAAATGCGATTTTCGATGATTTTGAGAAGAAATCGCATTTAGGGTTAAGCAATTTACTATTTACCGTGACACGTCAATATGCTTTCACTTTCACGCAAAAATAATCTCTCTCCTATAAACCCTAATCTCAGCAAAATTCATTAATTCGAGAGTAGCGAATGAAAATGACGTCAATTTACCCGATCATCGTACCATCAATTCCCACATTATTAATATTGTTTTTCCTAACAACGAAATCCATTTCTGCAGATTCCCAATCATCATCTTCATCTGCCATTTATGACATTTTGGAATCCCATGGTCTGCCAATGGGCCTGTTCCCAAAGGGAATTTCTGAAATTTCATTCGACCCTGACTCTGGCCGCATGGAGCTCCATTTGGTGTCTCCTTCCCCTTGCGATGCGAAATTCGAGACCAGGGTTCGTTACGAGTACAATATTACGGGCACATTGGCTTATGGCCAGATTGTTAATTTATCTGGGGTAGCTGCCCAGGAGCTTTTCCTCTGGCTTCCTGTGAAAGGGATCCGGGTCGACATTCCGAGCTCAGGGTTGATTTATTTTGACGTTGGGGTTGTGTTTAAGCAGTTCTCGTTGTCATTTTTCGAGACTCCAAAAGATTGTGATGTTTCGGCAAAGGGAGATCAAGTAAATGTTATCATTTTGTTTAATGATCAAGGACAAATTGCTGAGGTCGGTAAATCTTGATTTAGGCATCTCTGTATACTTTTATTTTATACATTAATTGGTTAATTTATAACATGGGATATACAATTTCCATTTCTTAGTCCTGGATCCTCGAAAGTTTGGGGTGGGTATGGGGCTAATGGGTATATTGACGATGCACAATATAAGACAAGGTGTTATCTCGAGAAGTGGCACACATACACTCACACGAGCATAATAATTTTGGGTGAAACTATACAACTCTTGGTTTATGTACAGGCATAATGTAGTATTAGTTTATCGAATATGATTAGAGATAAGTTAATTTGTAGTGTATAATTCTGGATGTTATTATTTATATAAACACTTCTACTGGCATCGATAGGGTTGTGTGTGCCGTGCATGTGCATGTGCTAATATGCTATGAAAGTTACGTTAACAATTTGAATAAAAGTGGAGTTACTAGAAGGTGTTTGCTTGGGTCTCACATGGGAACTGCATTTGAATGTTTCTTATTTCTAATATTGATGAAAGAGAAGATGAAGTAGCAGAGCGGGGTTGAATTCATGGATGTCAAAGGTTATTGTTGAGGCTTTAACAGTTGTATTCGAAATCACATGTTCTTGAATCTAGAGTAATTATAAGATTTGACTGAGGAGTAAAAGTACTGTGAAATTCAGGAAGAGTGATTTGGTGGAATAGTAGGCTGCATCTGGATTTTCAAGCTTATATAACATTTCTGTGAACAAATGTTATGGTATCTAGACATTAAAGCCGAAAAAAGGAGGCATGCATTTGAAGCACGGACAAGTGAAGAAGTATAAAATTGGACCAGTCCATAATTTTTTGGACATATCTCATGAAACTGTGTCAAGGGTGTAAATTAATGGCAGCAAGAGCGATATGCTTCAAATGTTGTCAAAGGAATTCGTCTTGTCATGTCCTTCAATATGACAGTTAAACAAGCTACATAATCTGTTGTGCAGCAATAGTAAATACCAAAGTCAGAAGCTTCAATTCTTCCCCTGGGAGCCTGCTAAATATGCTACTCTCCCTGGGTTTATGTGGAGGAAAACAGTTGTGTTGCTGCTCCCTGGGTTCTTGTACATGTGAATGCACACATATACTGTTACGAAACACGTTCTTCATGTACATAAACGTAACTCTGTTTAGCCTTTTGAACTACTTTCTCTATAATTCATTTTGATCTTGTTGCAGCGTCCATCCAGAAAGTTTGGGAGAAAACACGACGAGGGGAATGCAATGAGAGCTGTTTCATAAATAGGGGGGCATAGGAGTTCACACATTTTGTCTACCTAGTGGATTCATCCTTTGACTTGAAGAGTACCAAGAATCTGGTGGTCCATTATTTTTGTTCGCTTGTTTATATTATAGGCTTCTTCCTCAGAAGCTTCTGCTTATGTAGAGCAAGGTTGCAGTTTTGTTAAGGAGAGGGAGAACATGCTAAAGAAAACTAGTTTACAATACTGGTGAATGAGGGACGAGGATTTTGAGTTATATAGCTGTGTGAAGATCATTGTTAATTTGCTGTACTTTTTTATTTAACTTATGCATATAGTTGTGTTATTACCTCTAGTTCTGTAAATTGAGAACGAAAGCTGATTGTATTTTGCACGAAACCTTACGGCAACTATATATGATTTCCTTTACAGAGCCAATACGGTGGAAAAAAAAAAAAAAAAATTGGTTTCACCATCCATTTTTTTGGTTAGAGAGATGTCCTCCTTTCACTCTTTTATCTTGTGCTGTATCCATCAAATTGTTGTGCTTGAGGTGATTTATTAATGGTTCTGGTTGTTGTATTTCAGTATGTTACACCATATGGTTGCACAAGTGAATTTTAACCACCCAAAGTAATTTTTTTTTCTCAATAAAATGGATTTAGCACCCGTTTGATAGGAATTAAAATCTAGATTTGAATCCAAGTCAAAGTAGACAATTAATTTCAACCACATATTTCATAGATCTTACAACTTTTCAACAACGTATTTTATGAGCTTCTATTAAATTCTACTAAAAATCTGATTTTAATCCTCACGCTAGTTTGGTGGACAATGTAAAATATGGGGTTCAAAACATAAAATTGGTAAGGAGAAATATACTGCATTTCTTCAAAATTTATCCTTCATTGGCCCTTTCAATATTCTCTCCTAAGAAATGGAAATAAAAAGTTAATTTCTTAGCTTAAACGCCAGTAGCAGGCAAACATTTGAAGTTAAGGAACTATAGAGATTATTCTCAGTGAAAAGTAAAGGCAAGTTGAAAGTGGTTTCGATAAGAAACGTTCAAATAAATTGAGTTTAATTGCAAGGACTACCTTCACTCCAAAGCTGAGGTTGAGGAGGGTGGTGTTATCAAGAAAAGAAGAACGAACCAAGACAAGATTCACAACATACTTATAGGTTGAGAAGGATTTGTGTAAATTTCTCTTAAATCACAGTATTATTCTAATTTTTCACGAAAAACAACGTAGTATCTTTTTATATATAAAAAGTGTCTATTTAACGGAATTTGTTGGTTTAACGGAAAAACTAACGGAATTTGTTGTTTTAACGGATTATGTAACGGAATTTCTTGTTTTAAACAGGCAGTTGCACATTCTTTCAGTGTTTTTATCATAACTTTGTATTC